GGAGTTGCAGAGGACAGAGGCTGCCGGGAGGAGGTTAGGGGGAGCGGGAGGTGGGTATCCTAGGGAAGGCGGGACATCATCTGGGCTGGGGATTCAAATTCACGATGGGAGTCGCTTAGTAGGGCCTGTGGCCTGCTGTCTAGCTGTGACCTCCACCCGCGTCCCAGAGTGTAGCTCTTAGCCCTCCGCGACGTGCCTCGGTTTCCCTTCTTTCTCAACCTCTCAGCACAGTCCCGGGAGCCCGACAGATGCCGAGAAAAGGCTGGCGATGGAGGGACCGAGCCTCGGAGCAGGCGCAACGGGGAAAGGGGAGGGGTGGTCACCTCGCCCTGCTGCCACCTGCTGCGCCGATAAGGCCTGGCGCTCAGTTCCCGTCCCCCAGGCAATGCTGGGGCAAAGGCCAGTTAGGCCCCGCCGGAAGCGCCCTCCACTGGCCAAACCAGGTCCAGCGCCGGGCAGCGAGCAGCCGGAACTCTGGCCCAGCTGCGCTGTGGAGGGGAGAGAAGCAACCTCCCAGCACCCAAGGCTGCAACGAGTCGCTGCAGTCCGCCTCAGCCGCTCCAACCATCTGTCCCTCCCAGAGCGCGCTCGAGAATTCCTCCTACGTCGGGGAAATGAAGTCAAGGCAGATACAGAAGGCTAGATGCTTTAGTGGTGGGGCGGTGGAGAGGGGGGCCCTGAGGGCAGCAAGTCGGAGGGGCTGGGCTGTGGCATCCTCAAAGAGTCGGTAGGGGGCCGCGCCACCAGGCGGGGCACCTCGGCGTGCTGCAGCCCGAGGGCCGCCGCCGAAAGCAAGTCGGGAGTCTCAATCCTGGAAGACAGAAAGCCCCAGGGAGAGGTTGGAAAGAGGCTTCGGGCCAAGCCTGCCCGCCCCTGCCGCCCCTCGCGCCCCTCCGGCGCAGTCGGCGCCCCCACCTGGAAACGCTGAGCGGCGGCAGGGCGATGACGCGCGGCCGCGAGGTGAGCACCACCTCCCCGCGGCTCGCCTCCACCAGGATGTTCTGGATCATGTTCTCCAGCAGCGCCTCCTGCAGGTTGGCGAACGCCGGGAGCCTGCGGGGGGTGGG